AAGTAAAAAAATAAATAAAAATAAAAAAGTGATAAAAAAAGTTAAAAAAAGGGGGGAGGGGGGCGCATTGCGGAACCTGGCCTTGGGGCAGCAGGGAGAGTAAATCCGGCCCTGGTGACAGGTTCTCTTTATTGAACCTGTCACCTCCAATACAGGAGTTCTCGCACAGCACTGTGCTGGCTCTCCTGTGACAGTTGAGAGGGGAAGGCTGCGAGTGACCATAATCTAGCAGACCTAGTCAGACAAGCCCCTTCTCTTCCTTAGCACTACAAGTCTTTGTAGGGATTCCAGTGATGAGGGGTGTGACCATTATTCAGCTATGGTAAAGCAAAACAAACGACAAACGCATTCAACAATTTGTTACCAGTTATACAGTAAGGTGCACACGAAATGCGTGTGCGTTTGAGTGCGTTTGTCGTTTGTTTTGCTTTACCGATTTGGTGCAGCAACGCATGGGGTTTCTCAGCTGCCAATGGGATGTGCGGGATCCCTTGTGTGTTTCTGTACCTTTAAGGAGGTGGGGCGTCCTCCTGACAGGCCTGCACCCAATTTGATATCTTCTGCCCCCATGTGCTCCAAGATGGAGACTCTCATAGTTTAGAGTTAGGACCGCACTATAAGAGGTGCCTTGGCGAGGCAGTGCGGCTTACACATCCTTTGCAGAAGACGTGTATCCAAACCTCTGTCATTGTCCTTTGTGGTGAGACAAGTTGTTTTACATGCTGGTTTATGAGTGTGCCATGATGCCTTTCTACTGTTCCATTATTCAGCTATGCCGGCATGGAGCACTGGAGTGTAAGCACGTAAAGCACTTTAAGGTATTTTAAAGTGAAAATGAGTTGAGAATCACCACATGCGGCAGTATTGGACTATGAAGAGACTTCAATAGGCTTTCATTCTAATCACATAGATATAAAGTCATCATTACCTTCTTTAAAAACTCTTTGGATGGTCATCACATATGTTCTGTAGTTGTCCCTCTACTCTGTGTCACTGAGTGTCGCCTTGTACGCTATGGAAATAATAAAGAATGATTTATAAGGAAATGGTCAATATGATGAAAGCCAAACTCCAGGCAAACGGCTAAATATTCAGAATTACTATGTTTTTGGCAGAAGTTACCAAAGAATTTACCATTTTGTCCAACTGGTCTTGAGGCCTACACCAGCCAGAGAACGCATCAGAGTTCATGAATAAGGATGAGCTCAGGTCGGGATGAACATGGAAGGAGCTCCTCCGAACATAGAAGGAGCTTATCTGAACATTGAAAGAAGCTCCTCCGAACATGGAAGGTAGCTCCTCCGAATATGGAAGGATCTCCTCTGAACATGGAAGGAGCTCCTCTGAACATAGAAGGAGCTTATCTGAACATTGAAAGAAGCTCCTCCGAACATGGAAGGTAGCTCCTCCAAATATGGAAGGATCTCCTCTGAACATGGAAGGAGCTTATCTGAACATTGAAAGAAGCTCCTTCGAACATGGAAGGTAGCTCCTCCGAATATGGAAGGATCTCCTCTGAACATGGAAGGAGCTCCTCTGAACATAGAAGGAGCTTATCTGAACATTGAAAGAAGCTCCTCCGAACATGGAAGGTAGCTCCTCCGAATATGGAAGGATCTCCTCTGAAAATGGAAGGAGCTTCTCTGAACATGGAAGGAGCTTCTCTGAACATGGAAGGAAGCTCATTGTAACAAACTTACCTTTCAGGTGCCACGGACTGGGGGTGGAGCTCCACCTCCACCCCGGGGACGGCATACGTCGCCTCCCTCCTAGTCGGCTTAAAGCCGTGAAAATTCAGTTGCACAGTGTTCGTGCAATGAAGCTGGACACTGGCAATTGAACCTCTCCATTGAGCAGCTTCTGAGACAGCAGTTGTCACTGCTGTACAACAGAAGTTCCCCTTCCATGAGGATGGCTGCAGATCTTACCTGACAACGCAGTTATCACTGCTGAGATATCCTTTCCATCCTCCTCTGGCAGTAGATCTTCTAACCACTCCCACTGCTTTTTCCTTCACAGCTGGCATCTATTCCACACCACAAGTGACCCCTAATGATCTGGGAGAAATTGTATCCGTTACGCTTCTTTCAGATGAAATCCACTGGAGCCGAAGTTGCCTTGTACCTGGCTGTTAACCCTTCAGCAGCAACTATGCAAAACTGGGAACCTATTACAGGTCCTCCCAGCTATCAATCATACAGGATTGCATCCTTATCTGAACACTTCCTGCCAGTACTTTAACCTCCCTGGCGGTATGATTATTCAGGATTTTAGGTACCAAAAGCGGTACATTGTTTTTCAAGCAAATATGTTGTTTTACATTGTAGGCCTGTAGTTCTTAGTAAATCCTAGGAATAACT